CTACGGTTTCGTTCGCGTTTTCGTTTTGTTTGATTATTGCAATGCAATTTGCGTGTGTCGTGAAACCCTTTCATAACGAACAAAAAACATTAACGAACGTTGTAAAGGTGTTCGAAAAACCGAATTTGTTCTTTTAGTATTGTTCTGTAAAGCTTTAATTATTCTGTTAATTTTTTCTTCAATTTTAAGCGTTTGTTGGGTTCTTAAATTATTGAAGGTTCCGAGAATGTAATAAAATATGTGCTCATTTAAGATCAATTTGAAAAAATCAATTTAAATCTTTTCAATGACTTGTAAAAATGACAAATATTACTTCATTCCCACGGCTTTCAAGTCAGTCCTCGACATTGATACGTGTAATCTAAGTTTTAGGAATCTCCAAATAAATTGTATTGGTACATTAGGAACATTTTGTAATCGAAGAACTACATGCCCTTCATTATATGGTTAGAATATTTTTCATGCCTCCAAGTAATTTTTGTTATTATACTAAAATAATGTTGTACATCACAAGGTACGACGATATTTATAAAGGAAAGGCATTTTTATATCTTAGTGGTATAAAACTGTTATAGAAACATTTTAACTTAAAAATGATAATGTAATTGGCAAAAAGCCCTCTTTGGAACGTAATTGAGGATGCGCTTTTAAAAACAATGTAATATTTTAGATTAAAACTTAGTTAATGCTCGAGGGAACTTCCTTTGTCAAAAATGATTCTGGTTTGGAATACTTGAATAATTCGCAAAGCACAAGCCGAACTAATTTCCAATCCATTTATGTACCTATCTAGCGAAGCTCGCGCGTCAGCTAAAAAACTAAACTAGCTAATCAGCATTAATTGCCCGTCGATCCGGAGTTGATTATGTTGAAAGCTTCGTTTTGTTGAAGTTAACTGTGCTCGAAAATTGAAATTTCTGCCTTCTTCGAACGTTTCCCATCGCAGGTAGGTAACGATTTTTAAAGTTGGAAACTTTAATGACAATCAAACCGAAACCGCTTCAGACAGAAACTTGCATTAGGGTTCAGGTCCAGTTCGCAATAAAGTGGAGGAAAAACTTCAATTGCCAGGTCGTGTGCTATTTGTCTTAAAGAAATTTTTCATTTGCTGCACTGAGATAAAGTACGTATTTTATTAAAGTTCAACCTGTCTGCAAAGTTACCCTTTAATTGTAGCACTTAACGTACGTTTCTAGTCATAAATGAAGTAAGTGGAATTTTTGATTGGATGCATTAATGCATTATTCTTTTTAATCATACGCGGTTGTGAAACTATACATAAGTTTGAAGAGTCTTGAAATGATCATAAAAAAATTTTCGGTGCTCTTTATCCCAATCTTGTGCATTATGAATTATTTCCATTCAGTGGAAGTTTCAAAACGGAATTTAGTGCAATAAATACACCGTTTAATAATTGGGACCGAGTACCAGTTAATTTGGAGTCAAAATAATGTCATTTTACAGACGAGTTTTGCATTAAATTTTACCCGAGATCATATTTTAATATCAAATTTCAATTATCTTGTATGTGAAACTTTTCATTAATGTCAATCTGTTAGTAATGACCGGAGACATTTAGAAATGTGACAAGTGCGGCCGGAAAAGTCACAGGTGCGGCTGGGAAAGTGACAGGTGCGACCGGTAAAATGACAGGCGACAGGAAAAGTAGTCTGGTCTGCTTCTGTCATGGAAATTTTTTTTTAAATGTCCATATACATATAGCGGGCTTCCAACAGGAGTTGGAAACTGCGCTAAAAATTGAGGCGACTAACGGAATATGTAGTCGTGCTCGTTTAGGCGATTCGCTGAAAATGTAAATTAAGTTAACTGGACATTACGTGCAGGCAATAAAGTAATTAAATTAGCAAGTTTTGGTAAACTTCGTAGAGTGGTACGTATATACCACATCGCGGTGTAGGAGACTTTATTACCGCCAGCTCACGGTGGCCATCTCAACTACCTGCTCACCCATCCCATTGCCATGCCAACTCATTGCCGGTTAACCCTTCGCTAAGCTAACCTTTTTTTCCTCGATTTTGGGAATTAGGGAATGTCTTATCGCACACTCCGCCCTATTATCTATCGGCGGGGGTAGTGTGGGGATCTCACACAATAAACCCCTTCTCTCTAATTCCATTTGTGTAAGGTTTCCGCCTGGGTATCACTCTTGTATTCTTCCAGGTCGGGCCCTTTTTTCTCTCTAACACATCATGGTGCCAGGTTTCTCCTCGCCTCCTCTTCCCTGGTTCTAACTACTTCTTTCACGTATTCGCTAACTTTTTCCCATTTCATCCTGCTCTCCAGCATATTCTTTACCAGGTTCCCTGGTTCCAGGACCTCCCCTAGGCCGATGCACATCCTCCACTCTATTTGCCAGATGTCCAGGGTCTTGGATCTCCTTCTCCCGATCACTCTCTCTTCTACGATCAGTCTAAGGGGTGGCGTCCTCGCCACCACAAACAGGCCCTTGGTGGATACCGTACGATAGGCAGATACGATGCCTATGGACATTTTACGTTGTAGGGCGTCCAACTTGTCACGCACTTTAGGGGTTTTTAAAGTCTTCTCCCCCCACACTTCACAACCGTAGAGCACCGTTTTGGTCACCGCCGCTGATAAAACCCTTCTTCTGCCCTCGCGCGGCCCCCCACAATTCCAGAATAGTCTATGCATTTGTATGGTCGTATTATTTGCCTATTTGCTCAGCGTGCGCAATATAATTCAGGTTTCTGTCGATTCTCACCCCCAGGATATCGATGTGTCTCGCCAGGGGCACCTGTGGCCCGGACACTTCAATCATAGTAGGGGGAAATCTTCTTCTTCCGGCTAGCAATGCCGCTTGGGTAACGTAACCTACCCAACCCTAACCTAACGTTTACTTTCGGGAATTGGGGAAATGCGTTAGGCACGCCCTCTACGGTATCATGCAGAGAGAAGTGCAGAACTCCTCCCTTCTTGGAGCTAGGGTCTTGCAACGGGCATCACTTTCGCAGTCTTACGTAGCGCTCTCTATCTACCTCGGCAGCGGCACTATGATTTATTTCTCTCTAGTTCTTACTATTTATGTTATCAGTTTTGATACAATTTCCCATTTCCTTTCACTCTCAAGCATGATTACTACAATATTGGATTCCTATATTACCTCTCCTATCTGAAAGGCTACCCACAACCTGTTATTCTACCATCTTGAGCACTTTAGTACGACATGTCCTGCGTCAGTCTACATTTATCATTTAAGATCTTTTTGAATTCATTTAAGGCGTGACTAATAGATATACAGCGCTGACTCCATCACGCTTCCTCGCAAGAAAGACATGCTTCCATCCCCAATGATGACCATTCAGCATTTAGTTTTGGTTACCTTCGTTAAGGGGCACCACCTCACAGTCGCTTGAAAATAAATCTTCTTTTCTCCATTAATAATGAAAATACTGCCTTGAAGCTCCAAGCACGAGCGCCCGAGATGAAACCAAGCACAAGCGCCCGATATGAACACCAAGCACGAGCAACCTACATAAACTCCAAGCACGAGCACTCGACATAAGAACCAAGCTTGAGCACCCGACATAAGCACCAAGCACGAGCAACTGGCATGAGTACCAAGCACCGAGATGAAGCCAAGTACGAGCACCCGACATAAGCACCAAGCACGAGCACCCGCCATGAGCACCAAG